TCAGAGCTCGGGACAGGGTAATCACGTCAGATGGATTTGAGGAAATTAGATCTACCTATTAAGTGTTGAGAAACAATTCTAAGAAAATGTTGGGAATTTGCTAGGTCGTGTGAAGCAAGTTGATTTTCTATACTGTTTAGATAGAAAAAGCTCAGCTAGTATGTGAGTATGGGGTTAATGCTTTGTGATTCTTAGGGGGGAAAAAGTACGCAAACGCCGTATGTAAGCAAAACAATGCAAAACGATACGGAGCAATGACGACATGGGATTATGTCCTAAACAAAGGCAGTTAAACCCCAACCCTGACAGCAAAGGGAAATTTATTTTTGACAAGGAAGGTAGCAGAACAAAAAAAGAAACTTCCCACCATGTGTAGAATGAATGCATGAGGATGATAAGCATATGTCCGCAGCCCGTAACTCCAAACTTGTGTGCAGCCCTATGTTGGTAAGTCGGCGCTTATGGTCAGGCCAGCAATATGTTCCCAGCACATGACAAATCTCGCATTGCCATGCGAAATTTGTCATGTGAGAGGAAAGAGGAAAATACCTGCGCGTCCTCTTCACTTGACTTGGCCCTTTGGGTGGTATGCAAGCTGCAATGAGCTAATTATTACTGTGGCGATGATGGTTCATTGTCAAATGTATGAAGTGGTTTACACTGAAAACAAAGTACACATCAGTGAGAAACTGCCCGTGACAGCCCTTGACAGCCCTTGACACCTCCCTCTTAAAAAAAAACCCATTATATATAAAAAAGGAAACAATAATTTCGTGTGTTTGCCCCACTGGTATGAGAGGTCGGGATTACAATATTTTTAATTAAACAAAATAAATTACTGTACATGTCGATTCAGTGTAAAGGATTGGAAATGAAGTAGAATCTCATGAATATAATGTTTCTATATTATTTTTGTAAGCCTACATACAGGAATACAAGATTTTCTTGCAGAATCATAAGTACATGTGGTCTGTGAGGCCACTCAAGACTGAGAACCTGAGCCTTAAGGTCATGGTCCAGTAAAGTTTATCTTTTCAATTCCACTTTCAATGCCAATGGATTTGATCTAAATGCCATCTCTTGTTTCCACAAAGTCCTATAATTATTATTATTTTCATCATGGGTGGAATTCACAAAACTACAAACCTGGTGACTCATGTTCAATTTCCACTCACGGTTGACATCAGTGATGAATATCTGAAGTAGTTCTGGGTCTGCCTGAGATTAAGTTAGTACTTAGTGCAGTGTATAAATATCTGCACAGGGAAGACAAAGCCGGTCAGGTGTGGTTCTGGCTATCAACCCCCTTGTGTGCCGTACCGGTGTAAATAGGTGCTCCCAGCACTTTCCTCAACAGTTTGTATTTCTATAAGGGAATCTTTATCTTTGTAATGAGAATACACGTGACGTGTGTGAACATGTAATGCGTTGCAAAATCACATAGCTATCCGTAAAAGTTAAATCAGTGTGCATAAGTTTAATTGTAGCTATCGCCTAATGCCGCCAGGCTCATTTCAGGAATGAAACATCTATATGAGACGCAAACACCTTAAAACCCACATGGGCTTAAACGGGCTTAAAAAGTCCATGGTGTGTAAGACTGCCCTCATTCCACCCCCACCACATTGCTGACTTTTTTCCATGGTCATGACTTGTAATTAATACAATGTATCTATTTAATATAAATTACATTTGAACCCCAGCTGTTAAATAATCTCCAAACGTAACCCCCCACGGAGCACTCCTTCTTCCAGCACATCCTTACAAGAGGGTCCGCATGTCACAATACATTGCAATGTTCAAGTGAGACATATGCAGTAATATTCAGAAGTGTTCTACAAAACAAAGACAACTTACACGCATGCATGCATACAAAGATACCCACCCATTAAATTACGTCAACCAAGCACTGCCACTGAAAAATACAATCAGCTAGCAACAGGGCCACCAACTTAAATCACGATAACGTGCTATTGCAGGACTAGCACGAACACACGCACATAGTATGTGGTCAGAATATAGTATGTGGGTGGGAGGCAGCGGATAGTACTCAGGGCAGTTTGTCCCATCATCGCTGTTTTATTACTCCAGTTGAAAATTACTTCAGAGGCAATCAATAATCTCAATTACATTTCTTTCGTTATGGTTAGCATTATATTCTTTATTGTGCAGCAGCAGATGTAAAGCTGTACAACTTCTCATCGGAGCATAGCCAGTTAATACAGCGTAATCAAACGGTGATTAATCAATACCTTCCAATGTCATTGCCTGAAATAAACGTTCCTTTTGGATATCGAATCAGTTCAAAATTGCAACATTCAATTAAGATGGAAATCTGTATTTATACGAAAATAAATTGCGTGATACGTGGTTTATGTTTGTAATTAAGTTAATATTCACTCTTGAAATAAAGTTTTATAAAACGACTTTCTCAAATGTATATTCCCGTGTACTAAGCATTCCTTGTAACCTCAAGGGTCTTCTCTATGGCAAGGGTAATACCGTAGTCATGAAAAAAAATAACTCGTGAAGCTAAGTGGCATTTGAAAAAAGCCTGGAGCAAACTACAATGCTTATATGTTCTGCACAGATCCATTTCAAGCCACCTCAGTTTCCAATTCGAAGTTCCATGCCATGTGAAGAAATGTGCTGATAAATATGTAGCAGGATTCACATCCAAGACGTTTGATATTCCAAAAAGATGTCATCAATTTGATCGAGTATATCTTCTTGAAAATGTTTGTTCAGCCTGATTACTATGATGTTATATAAATGTGTGTTGTGTTTTTTTTTATCAATTCTCGCCAATTTTTTTTTATGGCCAAACAAACCCAATGCTATTAAAATAGCTATTAAAATAGCATTGGAAGTTCACAATGGCAATTTATTGCCACAGGTGCATGCTTTTGTTGTTGTTGAGAACGGAGTTTCTATTATGGTAAACATAACCCTGGAGCATGAGCTTGTTGAAAGTGGACATATAGAAACTCGGGGAGGCATGAGGGAGTTTATCAAACACACTTTTAACAAATGTTAAATGCTAAACAGTCATTATTAAATCTGCGTACATCTGTCATGCATTCTGCTTCAGCTCTTACTCCACTAAGGGCTGTTTATATGATTATGGGTAAACTTAAAGCGTCGGATGTCATAGCCAATACAATGATCTATGTTTCTTTTTGAGTTTGGCCATGTGGTAATTTTATGACAAAAATATTGTCAATAACACCTCTAATAAAGCTCATCACCGGTGGCTTAAGAGCTTTCATTAAAAACAACATAAGACATCGATGTAAGAGCACAGTCAACTGGGACAGCACACTCGATTTCCGAGTTCACTACCCGGTGAAGCTCAAAGCGGTTTTGAGGGAAGCGTTGCACGTTGATGATAAATTCAGTCATTAAACGTCGTAAGCCACAGGTGAAGAGCTGTATTGGTCGGAATTCTATCAATACATCGGCACGCATAAATAATATTTGTAAAACGCAGCAATATTGTTGGGTGGCAAAAGGGTCAATGACAAGAATGTTGGCATATAACTACCATTGGTGGCCTAAACCAAAAATAAACATGGATTGGGGTTATGGGTGTTCATGGAGTTGGTGAACTCTGAAGCATAACTGCCACTGGTTTTGAATTGATTATTCTTTCTAACATTACAATTCAACACCAGTGGCTTGACTATGTGAATTTAGAGGAGGAGGGAAGCTTAACCGCTATACATCTCACTATATTGTATGTGTAAGCACTTAACTAATAACTTAATAACTTATGCCGTTGTGATTTTGTTTTAACTTCATGTTCAAACAAATACAAAAAGTAAACTAGCACATTTCTAGAGAATTATTATGTTTAAATGTCAAAAACCCTCAAACATGATGTATGCCTTAGGGCAGGTAATACAATCAGCAGTCTCCTTCAATTTGCTTCTTACGCGGCCTCAACCAAACATCTATTATGAATAATAATTTTTACTGTGAAATTATATGGATTAAGTCCCCTCTGGTTGCTACGGAATTTTATGAATATGCTTTGGGGCTGCATTGCTCCCATCCACCTGCAATTGCCGTTGCTATTTAGTGCCAGACACACCAGATAGCATCTGGCAAAGTCACTGGCTAATCCAAAGTCTTCAGAAGAAGCAGTTGAAAACTTAATTCATTTTATTTCAGAAAAGTGGCTAGAAATCTTATTACCTGGACTACGAAAAACTTTTTTTTCAAATGGTGACTTTAAAAGGGTAGACTAATGTTATCGGAGCATTTCACTGACTTATGCTTTGAGGCACCATGCCCTCTTATGTCTTCATCAGCCACTTCTCACTTGCATAGTTTACCATATATTCTTGTCAGTTTAAAATATTCCTGCACGTTGGCAGACTTGGTTATATGCAAAAAGGTATCTCCTGCTAAATACTCCTAGTAGCCTTCCTTCCTAATTGTCGTTACTTACACGATTAAATTAATGTCTGATTGGCATATACATTCATTTAAACCAAAGTCTAGCAGCACTTTTAAGATGTCATCATTGCCAAAGCCAATATGTCACCACACCTCACCAACACGTTATATCTATTACCAGATGCAGGAGTTGCTGCACAGTAGACACACAACCTCCAATATCTAACACTATCTATCCTACGATCTGCATTTAGATATCCTCGATAGCCACATTCGTGGAGACTGCTCCAATTTCAGTCTCAGCAATTAGCCCTCCTCCATCCTGCACACACATTCTAGACAGCAAATATATTTTTGCCTCATCATATTTACAACACTTACCTGTGAAAGTACGGAATATCTCTTTCGTATTTTCACATGGCTTTTCCTGTCTTGCAACGACATCCCTAGCACCCGCTTCCAACGCCACAGTGCACCCCAAATCCCTCATTCACCACACCGGCTTGGCGACACGACGCTATCTCAAGATGCACCCACTCCACACCACTCCAAACGAACGTAACAACACACCTCTCGCCGCAAGCTGTGCCGCCACTCACCTATCAGTGGGGAGCTGCCCTCCTCCCACACGCATGCACGTGAGCACGCGCATCTGAACGCCGGTGGCGCACGCGGCCTCCCCGTCGGCTACAACCTGGGAGGCGTTAGGTGAGCCCTGGGTGACCTCGTGCACGCACGGCCCCCAGGGCAGAGCGTGCCAGTAGTGCACGGTGCAGCCATGCTGGTTGCAGGGACGCCACTCTTGCAGGCCCAGTCGGTCCGGACACTGCCTCCCACCTGCGTGCTCGCACCACCAAGGAGGAACAGATGGGTGCAAATGTGAGTTCCTAACGGCCACCCATGTCGTTTCATCGCTCCCTTATATCACTATGACCAATTCATTATCCTGTGTCTTGGGGTAATGCCGTGTTGTTTCGCATGATGTCTGATGCTTCGCTCCATGTGCTGGGAGCTTCGAGAGGAACAATGAAGAACGACATGTAAACATACACAGTACTTTTATAACCAATCCACTCAGAATGGGCAGGTAAAAAACATCAGACACCAATACATTTTCAACATACATTTGTCTGTAAGATAATTGATCCACATGGAATGAAGTTAAAGTGTGTCGCCATGCTCAAACAAAAGATAAGAACAGGGGTTTTCCCCTTTTTTCTGGCAACAAAACTAAAACCTTTCTACAAGGAATCATGTCTGCATTAACCACAATACCTGTGGTTAGAATGCAAACGAAAAACACACTGATAATATATGCATTGTCCCTGAAACTTATTGGTTCACACAAGAGACAGCTTTCTTTTGAGCCTCGTCTCAAACGGTGCTAGACCAGAGGATGCCAAAAGGTGTACAGCTCAAAGACAATGCACTATCAAAGAAATGAGGGCTCGGGGTAAGCATCTACATCATTTGACCTCCTTTGCCAGTACCAAAATATAAGAATAGGGTTTTTCCCCCTTTTTATGGCAACAAAACTGAAACCTTTTAACGAGGAATAATGTCTGCATTAACCACAATATTATCAGTGTGTTAGACTTGATTCGAAGCTTTCGTGACTGCAGGAATTACTCTTTGTTTTTTTTTTCGGTAAAGTCACGTATAAATAAGAAATAATAAAATAACATAATAGCGTACGACGTTTCGGTTGCAACACAAGCAGCCATCATCAGGTACAGAAGAGCTAAATTTACGAGAGAGAGGAAACACATAACCCCAGATGTATATACAGACACCCAAGTAGGGGGAACTAACACAGATACAACAGGGGACACAGAGAGAGAATCACACCAAACAAACAGGGTTTAGCAAAATTTGGAAACCATATAAAGCAACACAGACGGTCGGTAAAAACACAATTAACGCATAGTCTGGTTGATTACGCTATTTCAAAGATTGCTAAAGGCGACTTCACTCTGTGCTGGTTCGCTCTGCTTGGATGTCTATGTGTGTGTGTGCGGTCTGTATTTTAAAATTTCATACTTAACTTACAATTTAGCAATCTTTGAAATAGCGTAATCAACCAGACTATGCGTTAATTGTGTTTTGACCGACCGTCTGTGTTGCTTTATATGGTTTCCAAATTTTGCTAAACACTGTTTGTTTGGTGTGATTCTCTCTCTGTGTCCCCTGTTGTATCTGTGTTAGTTCCCCCTACTTGGGTGTCTGTATATACATCTGGGGTTACGTGTTTCCTCTCTCTCGTAAATTTAGCTCTTCTGTACCTGATGATGGCTGCTTGTGTTGCAACCGAAACGTCGTACGCTATTATGTTATTTTATTATTTCTCATTTATAAGTGACTTTACCTAAAAAAAACAAAGAGTATCAGCGTGTTTTTTGTTTGCATTTAGACCACAAGTATTGTGGTTAATGCAGACATGATTCTTTGTAAAAAGGTTTTAGTTTTGTTGCCAGAAAAAAAGGGGATAAATCCTATTCTTATATTTTGGTATTGGCAAAGGAGGTCAAATAATGATGCTTAAACAAGTGTTGTGTCGCACTTATATCTGTGTGTGATCCTGAGCTAGCTCTGGATACCCCAAACTCCTGGGGTAAAGATGAGGTTTATCAACAAGAACAACCACTGATGACATTAATTTCGAAGGAACTAATTTTTTGGGAGATTGGAGGGATAATGAATGGCCTGAGCGGACCTACACTATAATTTAAACTGATAAAAGTTCGAGAGAAATGTAAAGTAAAAACTATGTATAAATGTGCATGTAGCTTCGTGCATATCAGTGTGTTTGTGGAGCTCAGTTCAAATCCCCACCACGGCTCACATCAGTGGTGATTATCTGAACTTGTCTTGGACCTCCCATAGGTTATCTCGGACTAGTGCAGTGTGTAAACAATAGCACTGAAGAGACAAGGGCGGTCAGGCGTGGATATGGCCACCCACCCCCTTGTGTGCCATATCAGCCTTCATTGTTGCTCGCTAACAGCACTTGCCCCAACAGTCTGTTAAGGCTATACGGGGGATCTTTATCTCTTGTGTGCATGATTTGTGGTTGTGGTGCTGGAGGTCGTACCGTCGCCCGGAAGTGCAAGGATGGCGCGCACGCGCACCTGCCGGCCCTGGGTGGCACTGTCACCCGCCCGGCTCCCCTCACCCCCCAAGCAGGTGTGGGAGCAGGGCATCCATTGTCCCCACTCGGACATCGCACAGTCCTCCCAACATGGCACTTGGCATGCTAGCTGCATCGGGAAGCCCGGCTCCCCGCACAGTTCTGGTCCAACGGTCACGCCTGCCTCGTACGCACACCGTCGACGCACGGGGACATGTTGGGGTTATGATGCGCAGAGACACAAGGTTCTACAACTATTTAAACTATTTTTATTTTAACAGGTAAGGTCCACTGAGCTATATAGCTCTATTTCAAAAGCGACCAGTCCACAAATGACACCCCAACGAAGTGGCTTATCGTGTAGAATATTTACAGCAGCTAATTACTCTAAACGCATATCGATTCTAAATGCAAAAGAAAAAATCGGAGGACCCGGAGAAAGATCCACACGACCACAGAGAGAGCATGCAAACTCCAAGTAAACAGGCACCAGGGTCGGGATCGAACCCACGATCTCCTGTATACCAGGCGACGTAGCTATCATCTCGCCACCGCGCATGGATACAGACGTTGTGGAGACTCCTGCGAGGGTGCATACGAGGCAATGTCATCCAGTGAAACATGTGATCCGGTGAAACATGTATGGGTTTTCTCTGGGTGCTTCGGTTTCCATCCATACGTAGACACCTAAATATTTAGAGGTCCTCGGTGCTTGGGAAATTGTTTGTGTCAGTTCATCACATGGCTGCATTTCTGCTTATGTATGTGGTTCCTTAAGCCTCTGAATCATTCCCATCCATTTGCGAATGAGAAAATAATATGCGCAATACAAGTACATTTTTTAAAATATGTATTCATTAATAATGCAAATATAACACTCTGGACAAGTACACGATGTGCTCAAATATGTACACATCTGAACACGTACGCACAGGCACACGTTCGTGTCATATGCATTTTAACGAAAATATACTCTTGAAAGTATAATGCATTTATCATATGAAAGCCATATATTGTCTGGTGCCATGTTGGCTTCGGGAAAATGGAAAATTATGGTTACGCCACTGCCACCACACAGTGACCTTTACGTGGCACATGCCACAAGTTCATCGAGTTCTCTTTTTCCAGCAGTTTATGCACTTTGTAACGCTCCACAGTGTGGATGTATTGTAAAAGAGGATTAAGGCCGCAAAGCCACACAATTATGTCGTCTTGGCAGCGGGAGTGCTGACTGCTACACTTTCTATCTGTGGCAGCTCATTCACGTCCTTTATGTTAATTTCTGTTACACACTTTTGAGGTTCAAGTCATCTGTTCTTCAGCTATTATATTATATTTAAAATCTCAGACACAGCTCGTACTGAGCATCAGAACCCACAGCAGTGTTCTCCATCAGTACCGCTGACACAATGCCTCAACTTTTTCGTTATTCGTAGTGCATGAATTAATCAGTGAAAGTGCTTACATGCAGTCTCTGACAGTAAGCTTCATTCTGTACTTCCATAAAGCATTCAAAAACTGCAACTTTTAAATAATTCTGCAGTGGTTGAAATTGTTTTTTATGGAATTTATGGCATTGATTAAAGACCACTAGTGTATAGCTTCCAGAAATGTGTGTGTCCTTGTGCTTAATGCTTTGATGACTATGTGCCTTTGAAAATATTAAATGACTTTAAGTATTTCCTTGAAGGTGTTTCAACAGAGGCAGACATCTAATTCCAATGCCAATATTATGTGGACATTTGAAATTAGTATTATGTTCTTAGATTAATTATTATTGATTTGAAGCTTTCGTGAATGCAGGAATCCATACTCTTTGGTTCTTTCGGTAAATTCACGTGGGTATAAAATGAAATAAATCACGACGTTTCGATCGCAACACAAGCGACCGTCATCAGGTGGAACATATACAGAATGAGAACTGCTGACAGAGGAGAAAGAGCTGCTGCTATATAGGATTTTGGTGGGCTCAACCCAAGGGTAAGTGGGCGGAGCTAGAGAAGGAAATGTGAGATTTTAGCATGTCAATGTGAGACGGTCCCAGCCACCGGAGGTGACGGGGATCCTCCTGTGGCTGGGCTGCCTCACAGATATTTAACCTGGTGATGTACTCAAGGTCGGAAATAACAGCTGACATAGGCAGGTAGGATGGAAACATCACAGATGCCTGCATTCCAGCACTGGAGACAATCTAGCGCTCTATGCATAATTTTGAAACCCCAAAACTATCCATAAGAAGTTTTTGGGTTAGATCGCGTAAATATAAATGTGTCGTTAAACCCGCCACCACCCAATACAGCCAATTAGTAATATTTGATACGTGAACAAAACTTGCCAATTAGTTACTATTTCGATTTCAAGCTTTCGTGACTGCAGGGATTCATATTCTTGGTTATTTCTACGTGACTTTACCGAAAGAACCAATAATATAATTAGTTACTAGTTCAGCACACTGGTGTGTTGGAGAGTAAACCCACAACATTTACAATTCGAGTATGACGTTTCTCCAGTAATTACAACGAGCATCATCAGGCGGACAGATAGAGTTTAACGACATATTTAAACTCCAAAACTGATTGGGCTTTGAATGGTACCCACTTGTACATATGCTGGGCTTTTTCGAGGTATCCTGGTATACTTCCACATGTGATTGGCCAAAACATCCTTCCTGAAAAAGTCTTCATTTTCAGCGAGGCTTTCTTGAAAAAAAACTAATTTACTGTATATTCATTGTATAACACGACAAGTATATGGATGTCATGTTTGATGACTATTTAAGTAACTGTGTGGAATACGAGGCTACACAAAGTTTATATGTATGTAGAACTTATTTCGCACTGTACGTAGCCAACCGTGCTAATCGTAGGTGAGGTAGTTCGTGGTGTGACAAGCATCACACCTGGCCACCTTTGTCTCCCCAGTGCTAATGTTTAAATACCATGTTAGATAAGGTTGACTCAAACTCGATAATGCCCAGAATCAATTAAAATAATAACCACTGATGTGAGCCATGACAGTAAATATAACTCCGGGTGCTGTTTGGAGTGCAGTATACAGTGAGGGAAAAAAAGTATTTGATCCCCTGCTGATTTTGTACGTCTATAATTTAATGGTAGGTTTATTTGAACAGTGAAAGACAGAATAACAACAACAAAAAATCCAGAAAAACGCATGTCAAAAATGTTATCAATTGATTTGCATTTTAATGAGGGAAATAAGTATTTGACCCCTCTGCAAAACATGACTTAGTACTTGGTGGCAAAACCCTTGTTGGCAATCACAGAGGTCAGACGTTTCTTGTAGTTGGCTACCAGGTTTGCACACATCTCAGGAGGGATTTTGTCCCACTCCTCTTTGCAGATCTTCTCCAAGTCATTAAGGTTTCGAGGCTGACTTTTGGCAACTCGAACCTTCAGCTCCCTCCACAGATTTTCTATGGGATTAAGATCTGGAGACTGGCTAGGCCACTCCAGGACATTAATGTGCTTCTTCTTGGGCCACTCCTTTGTTGCCTTGGCCGTGTGTTTTGGGTCATTGTATGCTGGAATACCCATCCACGACCCATTTTCAATGCCCTGGCTGAGGGAAGGAGGTTCTCACCCAAGATTTGAAGGTACATGGCCCAGTCCATCGTCCCTTTGATGCAGTGAAGTTTTCCTGTCCCCTCAGCAGAAAAACACCCCAAAAGCATAATGTTTCCACCTCCATGTTTGACGGTGGGGATGGTGTTCTTGGGGTCATAGGCAGCATTCCTCCTCCAAACACGGCGAGTTGAGTTGATGCCAAAGAGCTCCATTTTGGTCTCATCTGACCACAACACTTTCACCCAGTTGTCCTCTGAATCATTCAGATGTTCATTGGCAAACTTCAGACGGGCATGTACATGTGCTTTCTTGAGCAGGGAGACCTTGCGGGCGCTGCAGGATTTCAGTCGTTCACGGCGTAGTGTGTTACCAATTGTTTTCTTGGTGACTATGGTCCCAGCTGCCTTGAGATCATTGACAAGATCCTCCCGTGTAGTTCTGGGATGATTCCTCACCGTTCTCATGATCATTGCAACTCCACGAGGTGAGATCTTGCATGGAGCCCCAGGCCCGAGGGTGATTGACAGTTCTTTTGTGTTTCTTCCATTTGCGAATAATCGCACCAACTGTTGTCACCTTCTCACCAAGCTGCTTGGCAATGGTCCAGCCTTATATAGGTCTACAATCTTGTCCCTGACATCCTTGGAGAGCTCTTTGGTCTTGGCCATGGTAGAGAGTTTGGAATCTGATTGATTGATTGATTGCTTCTGTGGACAGGTGTCTTTTATACAGGTAAAAATCTGAGATTAGGAGCACTCCCTTTAAGAGTGTGCTCCTAATCTCAGCTTGTTACCTGTATAAAAGACTCCTGGGAGCCAGAAATCTTTCTGATTGAGATGGGGTCAAATACTTACTTCCCTCATTAAAATGCAAATCAATTTATTACATTTTTGACTTGCGTTTTTCTGGATTTTTTTGTTGTTACTCTGTCTCTCACTGTTCAAATAAACCTTCCATTAAAATTATAGACTGATCATTTCTTTGTTAGTAGGCAAACGTACATAATCAGCAGGGGATCAAATATTTTTTTTTCCCTCACTGTACATACACACACATTCAGACACATAATAAAACATTAATGTATAATATTATTTCCAAAATGTAATGCGCAGTATCTTCAAAAAACGAATAGCATAGCTCTTCAGGTGGGATGTATAATAACACTGAAAGCCAATTGCCAGCATAATACTGTCATAAACACGCTGCAGTTGCTCCTCTTTAATAGGGCTGCCATGGCTGCCATAGCCGTTAACCGGTAGCCGTAACCGATACATTAAACCCCATAAGATTCAAAGCCAAGCCTGGAACCAGTGATGAGTTTACTGGCACGAGCAGCACGAGAATGGAGCGCACGGCACCAGCTGGGTTTTCGGTATAGGTGATGTGGCATTTAATTGCTACATGGACACAAGAACATGGGATGAATAAATGAGGCCTTCACAAACGGGCCAGGAAAGCTCATGTCACGTCAATAAACATGTGCACACAATGTGTGCCGCTATTCCCTGTCTTTTGGGAGGGCAGGTGGACATTGCGACACATGCGCTCGTGCGCGCTCATGAATGCAAATGTCTCTGTTTAGCAATGGATAGGGCA